GAGTGAGGAACGGTGTCCTCCGAGTGACGAACCCTTTACTCAAAGTGAGGAACGCTGTGCTCAGTGTGAGGAACGCTGTACTCAGAGTGAGGAACGCTGTCCTCAGAGTGAGGAACGCTGTCCTCAGAGTGAGGAACGCTGTCCTCAGAGTGAAGAACGCTGTCCTCAGAGTGAGGAACGCTGCCCTCAGAGTGAGGAACGCTGTCCTCAGAGTGAGGAACGCTGTCCTCAGAGTGAAGAACGCTGTCCTCAGAGTGAGGAACGCTGTCCTCAGAGTGAGGAACGCTGTCCTCAGAGTGAGGAACGCTGTCCTCAGAGTGAGGAACGCTGTCCTCAGAGTGAGGAACGCTGTCCTCAGAGTGGGGAACGCTGTCCTCAGAGTGAGGAACGCTGTCCTCAGAGTGAGGAACGCTGTCCTCAGAGTGAGGAACGCTGTCCTCAGATTGAGGAACGCTGTCCTTAGAGTGAGGAACGCTGTCCTCAGAGTGAGGAACGTTGTCCTCAATGTGAGGAACGCTGTCCCCAGAGTGAGGAACGCTGTCCTCGGAGTGAGGAACGCTGTCCTCAGAGTGAGGAACGCTTTACTCAGAGTGAGGAACGCTTTACTCAGAGCGAGGAACGCTTTACTCAGAGGGAGGAACGCTTTACTCAGAGTGAGGAACGCTGTTCTCAGAATGAGGAACGCTGTCATCAGAGTGAGGAACGCTGTCCTCAGAGTGAGGAACGCTGTCCTCAGTGTGAGGTACCTTGTCCTCAGCGTGAGGAACCTTGTCCTCTGTGTGAGGAACCTTGTCTTCACTGTGAGGAACCTTGTCCTCAGCGTGAGGAGCCTTATCCGCAGTGTGAGGTAGTTTGTCCTCAGTGTGAGGTACTTTGACCTCAGCGTGAGGAACATTGTCCTCACTGTGAGGTAACTTGTCCTCAGTGTGAGGTACCTTCTCCTCAGCGTGAGCAACCTTGTCCTCGGTGTGTAGGAGCCCTGTGCTCAGCGTGAGGAACTTTGTCCTCAGCGTGAGGAACCTTGTCGTCAGCTTGAGGAACCTTGTCCTCAGTGTAAGGTACCTTGTCCTCAGCGTGAGGAACCTTGTCCTCAGCGTGAGGAACCTTGTCCTCAGCGTGAGAAACCTTGTCTTCAGTGTGAGGTACCTTGTCCTCAGCGTTAGCAAACTCGTCCTCTGCGTGAAGAACCTTGTCCTCAGTGTGAGGTACCTTATCCTCAGCTTGAGGAACCTTGTCCTCAGTGTGAGGTACTTTGTCCTCAGTGTGAGGTACCTTGTCCTCAGTGTGAGGTACCTTGTCCTCAGCGTGACAAACCTTGTCCTCAGCTTCAGGAACCTGGTCCTCTGCTTGAAGAACCTTGTCCTCAGCGTGAGGATCCTTCTCCTCAGTGTGAGGTACCTTGTCCTCAGTGTCAGGTACCTTGTCCTCAGCTTGAGGAACCTTGTCCTCAGCGTCAGGAACATTGTCCTCAGTGTCATATAATTCGCTCTCATCGTGAGGAACCTTGTCCTAAGCTTGAGGAACCTTTTCATCAGCGTGAGGACCTTCTCGTCAACCCGACGAAGCTTGTCCTCTGCGCGAGGAACCTTGTCCTGGGCGTGGCGAACCTTGTCCTCAGTGGGAGGTACATTGTCCTCAGCGTGAGGAACCTTGTACTCATTGTGAGGCACCTTGTCCTCAGTGTGAGGTACCTTGTCCCCAGCTTGGGGAACCTTGTCCTAAGCCTGAGAAATTTTGTCTTCAGTGTGAGGTACCTTGTCCTCAGCGTGAGGTACCTTGCGCTCAGCGTGAGGAACCTTGCCTCAGCATGAGGAACCATGTCCACAGTGTGACGTACCTTGTTCTCAGTGTGAGGTACCTTGTCCTTAGCGTGAGGAACATTGTCCTCAGCGTGAGGAACCCTGTCCTCAGCGTGAGTAACCTTGTCGTCAGCGTGAGAAACCTTGTCCTCAGTGAGAGGTACCTTGTCCTCAGCGTGAGGAACCTTGTCCTCAGCGTGAGGAACCTTGTCCTCAGCGTGAGAAACCTTGTCCTCAGTGAGAGGTAACTTGTCCTCAGCGTGAGGAACCTTGTCCTCAGCGTGAGGAACCTTGTCCTCAGAGTGATGAACCCTGTCCTCAGTGTGAGGTACCTTGTCTTCGGCGTGAGGAACCTTGTTATCTGCGTGAGGAACGCTGTCCTCAGCGTGAGGAACCTTGTCCTCAGTGTGAAGTACCTTCTCCGCAGCGAAAGGAAGCTTGTCCTCTGCGTGAGGAACCTTCTCCTCAGCGTGAGGAACCTAATCCTCACTGTGAGGAACCTTGTCCTCAGCGTGAGGGGCCTTATCCTCACTGTGAGGTTCCTTGTCCTCAGTGTGAGGTATTTTGTTCTCAGTGTGGAGAACTTTGTCTTCAGTGTGAGGTACCTTGTCTTCAACTTGAGGAACATTGTCCTAAGCATAAAGGACCTTGTCCTCAGTGTGAGGTACGTTGTACTCATTGTGAGGTACCTTGTCCTCATCGTGAGGTACCTTGTCCTCAGTGTTAGGTACTTTGTCCTCAACTTGAGGAACCTTGTCCTCAGCGTGAGGCACCTTGTCTTCAGTGTGAGGTACCTTGTCCTAAGTGTGAGGTACCTTGTCCTCAGTGTGACTTACCTTGTCCTCAGCTTGAGGAACCTTGTCCTCAGTGTGAGGTACTTTGTCCTCAACTTGGGGAACCTTGTCTCAGCGTGAGGAACATTGTTCTCAGTGTGAGTTACCTTGTCTTCAGTGTGAGGTACATTGTCCTCAGCTTGAGGAACCTTGTCCTCAGCTTGAGGAACCTTGTCCTCAGTGTGAGGTCCTTTGTCCTCACCGTGAGGAACGTTGTCCTCAGCGTGAGAGACCTTGTCCTCAAAGTGAAGAACCTTGTCCTCAGCGTGATGTAGCTTGTTCTCAGCGAGAGGAACCTTGGCTTCTGCCTGAGGAACATTGTCCTCAGCGTGAAGAACCTTGTCCTCAGCGTGAGGAACCTTGTCCTCAGTGAGAGATACCTTGTACTCAGTGTGAGGTATCTTCTGCTCAGTGTGAGGAACCTTTTCTTCAGCGTGAGGAACCTAATCCTCACTGTGAGGAACCTTGTCCTCAGCGTGAGGGACCTTGTCCTCAGCTTGAGGAGCCTTGTCCTGGGCGTGAGGAACCTTCTACTCAGTGGGAGGTACCTTGTCCTCAATGTGAGGTACCTTGTCCCCAACTTGAGGAACCTTTTTCTCAGGGCGTGGTACCTGGTCCTCAGCCTGAGGAACCTTGTCCTCAGTTTGTGTACCTTGTCCTCAGCGTCAGGAATCTTGTCCTCAGCGTGAGGAAGCTTGTGTTCAGCTTGAGGAACATGGTCCTCTGCGTGAGGACCTTGTCCTCAGCGCGAGGAAGCTTGTCCTGAACGTGAGCAACCTTGTCCTCAACCTGAGCAATCCTGTCTTCAGCGTGAGGAGCCTTGTTTTCGGTGTGAGGTACCTTGTCCTCAATGTGAGGTACCTTGTCCTCAGATTGAGGAAACTTCTCCTCAGCGTGAGGAACCTTGTCCTCAGTGTGAGGTACCTTGTCTTTAGCGTGAGGAACCTTGTCCTCAGCGTGAAGAACCTTGTCCTCAGCGTGAGGAACCTTGTCCTCAGTGTGAGGTACCTTGTCCTCAGCTTGAGGAACCTTGTCCTCAGCGTTAGGAACCTTGTCCTCAGTTTGAGCTACCTTGCCCTGAGTGTGAGATGCCTTGTTTTCATCGTGAAGAACGTTGTCCTCAGCTTGAGGAACCTTGTCCTCAGCGTGAGGCCCTGTCCTCAGCTTGGGGAACCTTGTCCTCAGCGTCAGGAACCTTGTCCTCAGTGTGAGCTACCTTGTCCTCAGTGTGAAGTACCTTGTCTTAAGCTTGAGGAACCTTGTCCTAAGCATGAGGAAACTTGTCCTCAGTATGAGGTACGTTGTACTCATTGTGAGGTACCTTGTCCTCACCGCGGGGTACCTTGTCCTCATTGAGAGGAACCTTGTCCTCAGTGGGAGGTACCTTGCACTCAATGTGAGGTGCCTTGTCCTCAGTGTAAGGTACCTTGTCCTCAGCTTGGGGAACCTTGTCCTCAGCGTGAGAAACTTTGTCCTCAGTGTGAGGTACCTTTTCGTCAATGTGAGGTACCTTGTGATCAGCGTGAGGAACCTTGTCCTCAGCGTGAGGAAAATTGTCCACAGTGTGACGTACCTTGTCCTCAGTGTGAGGTACCTTGTCCTCAGGGTGAGGAAGCCTGTCCTCAGCGTGATGTACCATGTCCTCAGCGAGGGAAACCTTGTCCTCATCGTGACGACGTTGTCTTCAGCGTGAGGAACTTTGTCCTCAGCGTGAGGAACTTTGTCCTTAGCGTGAGGACCTTGTCCTCAGCGTGAGGAACGTTGTCCTCAGCGTGAGGAACCTTGTCCTCAGTGTGAGGTACCTTGTCCTCAGCGTGAGGAACCTTGTTCTATGCGTGAGGAAACTTTTCCTCAGCGTGAGCAACCTTGTCCTCAGAGCGAGGAGCCTTGTCCTCAGCGTGAGGAACTTTGTCGTAAGTGTGAGGTACCTTGTCTTCAGCTTGAAGAACCTTGTCCTAAGCCAGACTCGTCCCCAGTCATTATTTGAATTTCAATTTTATATATAGGGACGAATAGGTATATATCCATATATATATACAGATCAGTACCAAATGTGGACGCGCGCAAAGGGAAAAGGGAAGGCGGGGGAAAAAATAACGACTGGCAGATTACAGAGACAAAATTGCGGACAATTTGACAACAAAAGAGGAAAGACTATTTTAATATGCACCACAGAGCGTTTTTAGCTGATAAACTCCCTTGTCCGCATGAGAAATGTCAGTATAATTGATCTTGCTATGATCAAGATGGTTTAGACCACCATTACAAGACAATCCATAAATGTCCTGTAACCTGTTATTTCAGGCTTTCAGCTGATTAGTGATATTAAAATTAAAGGCGAAAAGTCTTATTTTGCCAGATAACTGAGAGAAGCACTCAAAGGAAACACTGTCATGTTTGGAAAAGCTATCGCTTAACAACGAATTGAAGGTATTCGTAAATCTAGAGTGTTGAATGCCTTTAATTGGAGCCAGCGAGCAATATAAAAACAGGTTGGTATTTTATTCGATTTTATTTATGCGTTTATATCTTTATATTTCACGATGAAATGCACTCTTAAACTCTTTGGATTATAAAGAAAACAGCTTTTTGCTGGGTTTTTTTTTGCAACCTGTGTATTTCACAATTTCGTTGCTGAAACTACAAATTTTTGTTATTTATAAATTACTTTATAAAATTACTTTATAAAGTGCTATTAACTCCAGGTTTTGTGTAATATGATTATGTGCCAACTTAAAACTTTGCATACAAGGCTATTAAATCAATGACAAGACTTTTGGAGCATTCAAATATTTCCCAAAATACCTGTAAATAACAAAATATACCCCCCCCATAACTAAATGTTGCTGTATGATGAAAAGACGTTTACATTGGTCATTAACAACACATTGTTTGGGGGCACAGGGTTGTAGGGATAATAAAGAAGCTCAGGTGGCACATAACTCCTATCATAGCCTTAATTAAACAATTTGAAAAACCAGAAATACTGTATCAATGCACTGGGGCCAATCTGGCAATTACTTCTATGTTCTGACAATCCTTGCACTCATAGTCCTTGAAATGATAAGGTAATTTCTGCCTTGTATCATGGCCAACGTTTAGGGCCACTTTCGGTGCCTTAGCAAGCAGGGCATTTTTTAAGAATTCGTCAGTGGGGGGGCCATCTACAAAAAGGGACCATACTATACCGAGTGTGGAGCAATGATAGGTCGATGGTTTGTTGGTAACAAAAAGTTTGGTGTGGTATCGAATTTAATGGTGGGGGAGAGCAGGGCCGTAGGAAGCTCTTTTCGTTTGGGGGGGGCTGAAAGCGAGGGCCGAAGGCCCGAGGAAATTTTTAAATTTAGAGTCTCTGAAATGCCATTTCCTGGACTTTGGGGAAGATTTGACAGATTTCTGATTATCAGAAAACAGCGTTTTTAGTATATGTGGAAATTTAGAATTCAGTAGTACTAAATGGGCGAAGGCGTATTTAATTAACAATATATTGGATAAGTTGCAGGAAAGTATGGGTAATATCTTCATTCTCTGCAGTTTGTCATGGATTAAATGATAAAGGTCTGCATGATTTTGAAAAATGAATGATTATTAGCAAATTATTGGGGGCCTGCAGCTCCACAGCCCCCCCCCCCCTGTGGTTGCTACGGCCCTGGAGAGGGTCTGAGGTTTTCTCTCCCAGAAAATTTTTGTATTTTTCTACCCCTATGACTGCAATTCCCTGCATTTTCTGAAACAGATTTTTGAATATACAGCATTACATTATGCTGTAGATAGACTGAACCTTCAGTTAAGTACTTGCATAGTATGTTTATGTAGATACCACAACTTGGCCGTCACTTAGGGAGCCAGCTTGATAAACTTAGAGTTCCCGACTCCCACGAAGCGCCACCATGGTTGGCACAGAGCGGAAAAATTTTGAAAATTTTGCGTCTCTAAATCGTCGGAAATGGCATTTTCAAAGTCGTCTATATGTCTTTTGTTAGGCCCTTTCATTAATTCGTTCATTATGATTTGCGAGTCTATGATATCCGCGAGTCAGGATGGATTATTACGAGAAATGTTATAAAAATATCGATTACTGATATTTGATTATATGTATATATGATTTCAAATACTTCTAGTTTCGAAATCAAATTGTTTCTTTTTTGGTGGTGGTGGGGGGGGCAAAATTATCCCCCCCCCCCTTATAAAACACTTGGTTGAGGGCCTGTTGCCCCCTGCGGTCACTAACTTGTCCAACAACTCAAATCTATAGGGTCTGGGAAATGCAATCCACTGCCTGGGAAATGTTTAAAATCTAATAAGGTATTTATTAAACATAAAAGACAGGACATAAGATTCACTCAAAGCAAATTTAACTTTACTAGAATATCAAACCTCCCTTCTAAATTCCATGTTTTGCTTATATTTTAGAGAAAAGGGACTTTGACTGGGGGGGGGCAAAATGGTTGAGTGGGGGGGCCACCATGGGGGCTGGGGGGGCTTTGGCCCCCCCAGTTATATAGTTAAAAAATGCCCTGTTGTGTACATGTAACAAAGCATTTCAATAATATAAATACACCTCACTCTTGAAATGGGAAAGTGAAATGTCAGGTTTCCTTAGTCGCTGCTTAAGGTGTTCCATAATTTGGGAGTTCTTATAAAATAGCTAGTTTGAAATGTTACCGTTCTAGCAAAGGGTACTCTAAGATGACTAAGATTAATGATTGCTTTGCCCGGGGAACTTCTCGTAGAGGTAGACCCCATAACTGAAATCATCGGACGAACATCATCATCGATATTTGATAACAACTAATTTATGAACAAGCAACATGTTTGTACATGAAGACAAGATCTAAAAATTCATGCCAATATGAGTCTGGGATTAGTTTGGGTATTTTGCAAGCGGATTTCATGCGATACATCAGTCAGAGATGCATGAATCACAACATCAAAATATATAATTTAGCAGCTTTTCTTTGAACTTTCTCAATATCCTGAATTAAACCGATTGGTTGAGGACACCAAACTTGACGGTTTGCGTAGGTATTGCAGTCTCAATATGGAACAATCTTCCAGAAAACATAAATCTTGTTCATCGATGATCGATCCATACTTCAAACATAAAGCACGAAATTATCTTTTAAAAAACATTTATAACAGTTAGTCATTGACAATTATACTATTGCCTAGTATTGGATATGATATTATATTATATTACAGATAACTTCTTAATTCAATACATAGTATAGAATATTTTTCATGTAAATTGGCTCTGAAAAGCCTCTTGTAGTCCCTAGTCCCTGGTCATGCAGTCCCTATACTTGTCCCTACTAATTAGGTTTGGTGAAACAATCAAATAAATATATATTCCTCTACCCTATAGTTCTAATTGTAGCTTATAGGTATACCTTTTTAAACGGACGTAAAATAATTATTGAAGGGTATTGTAGATGGAAATTATCGAGTGGAGATTCATATACATTTATTAGACCTACTCAGGAACAGCTGCGAAAAATGCAACTTTATAGGTCCCTGGCAGAATTCCAGTCCTGCGATTCCCGGTGCAGCGCTCTAACCAACTGAGCTATATTAACCAGTCTATGTGAACTTAGACAAGGAAGCAGCCTTTAATTAGGGTTTTACACCGCCAAACATGCAGGTTTGAACGCTTCCCAGAAGAAATTGCCTGTCAAATTAATTCAGTGGCGTGTTTTTTAGACAATTGATTTATAATTACAAAATTTCATTTGCCGTGGCGCCCTCACAGAACTCACCCATCTGGATAACTAGCTTGTCAAACAGCAATTATCTGTATTAATGATATTTGCAGAGTTATGAAAACATAATTTAGCTATGTTAATATCATTATATTAAACAATTAAAATAATTAGCATAAAAATCGTTTCTTTAATAATCGTTTCTTTGATAATTAGCATTAGAGCGTGGGAATATATTGTTTTTCTTATCTATTACTATATTATTTACTATTACTATTATATGAAGGGAAAGTATTGTCTATAGTTAAAAATGCATGGATATATCAGTACTTTCCATTTTTTCTCGGGAAATGTGAAGCTGGATGAAATAAAATAGCCTTTTGACTCAAAAACCACAGTTGAAAGAAATCCAGCCCTAAAAGGAAAACAAGTATAGTCAACGACAGGCAGCCCAGTAGTGTTTAGATGTATAGCAATGCATTACTGCAGTTCTGGATGCAAGGTAACAGACAAAGCGCCAGAACTGATGAGCTGCGCAATGACTGAAACCTAACATCCATCTCTGGAATATTTGAACCTTTAGCGAGAAAATACTTTTTCAGCTACTATACTCATGACCCTAGTATACAATTGCAAACATAGGCATACGGGAGGGAAAAAATTCGGGAGCATGCAGAAAGAAATGTGGCCGAGATTTTGCCCGAGTAATCCAAAAAAAAATTCCCCTGCCAAATTTCCAAAATTGTCGTCGACAAGGGGTCGCAGTCACATTTATTTAGTTATTCTATTCTATACTGTTTGAATTTCAATTATTTGTATTTAATTAATATAGTATACTCTCAATTTAATTATCAAATGTATTTTAAACAGCCAGCATTCACTCTTTGTCCATTATACATGCTAACATGCATGCTATGGATTGGATTAGAATGTCAAAATTCCGTTGATATGTGCAATATTGCGATAAACAGTTTTTATTCCTAACTTTGTGTATTAGAGGCAGCAATCAAGCAGTATAGATATTTGAAAATGGCTAAACAGAAGCTATCATTGCAAATGATCAAACAAAAAAAAATTACTTTTTTAAATTAATGGCTTGGTACGAAGCTTAGCCTGCGAACAGAAATATAACAGAAATTCAGAAATCTATATAACAGAAATCCAGCAGGCTATACGAGGCTTGGTAGTTGTCACTTTGGTATATAATCGGGTATTCAGTTGAAGATGTTAGAGCTTGTGTCCTATCGCTGCGAAAGTACTGCGTCTATGGGTATGCGGTATTACATTTTTGTTGCATGAAGAACATGAGACCAGTTAAGGTCTGATTCCACGAGCGTTTTCTTCGGCAAAATGCGTAAAATGTCGCGCGAAATGAATTAGCTAGGTGCATGCGCAGTAATAAAATTAGGCTTCAATTTTTCTCTTCACCAGTGGAGTCAGTTCTACTCACTGCGAAAGCACAAAGGTGTCAGTAGAATCACTCATGAATGCCATGCATCTATATTTCGCAGACACAATTTCTCGCGAAGAATTTCGCCGTTGTAGAATCAGGCCTTTACGCAAGAGGACCTGTTACGCATGTCATCATTGCTACGTGTAAAAGAGAAATAGTGAAAAAAAACACAAAAACATAGTATACAGTGCGGTGCCCTGGAGCATAGAAAAACAGCACGTTGGCGGCTTAAACAAGTGCACCATTTTTGAATACCAAGACTTATAATTCTGAACAACTTCTAACAGACTAACAAACTGTCGAATCATGATAGTATAAAGCGATGCCTAACTTCGTTTGGGAACCGCAATTAATGAATAAAAGAGTTACGAGATGAACGTCTGACATTGCAGTATATGCAGTGTGATATTAGATACAATTATAAAGATAATTCTGTCAGTGTAATGACCTGTAAAATTTTGACAAAGCTATAGGGGCGGACCATTGGAAAAGTGATGGGGGGGGGGGCAAAAATAAAAAATCGCGCAGGGGAAACAGAAAGAAAAAAAATCGTGCACCAAGAAAGTTTGAAAAAAAAATTCGTGCAGAGACTTTTCAATATAGGGAAAATTATAAATTGAAATAAAAAAAATTCGTGCAAGGGATTATATTTAAAAAAAATTATCGGGCAAAAAATTTAAAAAAAAATTCGTACAAGTTGAAAAAGTCCCCCCCCCCTCACTTTTCTAATGGTCCGCCTCTTAGAATCTTAAATATTGCAACAAAATGTTAGGTGGTCTAATGGAGTAATGAGTAATGTGATATAGTATACCATTCTGCTTCACTGATCATTGAAACTGATAAAAATGCCCTTCATTGACTTGAGCTTGTACGTTATAATTACTAAATGGATAAGTGGGAAACAAAGCTTGTTGAAAACTTTTGCAATCCAATGATCTGACAAATGTTTGAATCAAGGTATACGGCTGAGTTTTTATGGTAACCATGCAACAATTGAAAGGAGATTCCACCCAGTCCCAGGAATTATTAGATGAAATTTTTAAACTGTGTTGACACGGTATAAAGAAAAGAACGACAGAAACCATTGTACTCATCAATTTTCCGTTAATGAATGGTCTACGCCCTGGTGATGAATGTGACACAGCTTATCCAGATGCGAAAACATAAGATGTGTAAGAGAACACATAAAATGCGGCCTCGCATTGACATCCACATCATTCGTGATTATCTACTGAAACAAAGATGAATGCTGTAACTGTGCTTGTAATCTTGGCCACTGTTGGTTTCTCGTCTGCCGTAAGTAGAACAATGATTATTAACACAACAATTTTGTCAATCAAATTCATTAAATTACTTTTTACAACATATGAAGTAGTGTATTCACGTATAAACATATATTTCATTGGCTGTTAATTAGACCGTGTTTCAGACTAAAATTGATAGCTAATATTTGCGGAGAGTTAAGGATGTATATTAGTGACCAAGTGAAACCACAAATTTCAGTAATTAAGTTTTTGAATAAAGTTATATAAAGATGTTTACGAAAGTAGAATACTGATCGGAGAATAAACGGCATTTGTTGTACATATATATAGCTATAGGGTGAACACCAAACACTTAATGTCTGACAATTTATTTTGTTTCCCTAGAATATCAAGTTGCTGCTTTTCAGGAAATTTTAAGCCCTCAAATAAATGACCTAAAGCTAAACCTTCCGGAAATCAAGAAGCCCCCGGGGATTAATAGAGGTTACATTAGTCTTTTCGAAAACATGCTTAATTCATGTTCAACATTGATTGTTATTTTTTTATCTAGTTCTTGTTTGACAGGTGCACTAATGAAGCAGATTGTGTAGCCGACAAATGTTGTCTAGGTGGGAAAATATGTAGTCCAAAACTTCCAGTTCATGCAACATGTTATTTGACGGTAAGTTTTCTGTTGTTTTCAGAAGACGTAATCAAAAGAGAAAAATTGCCAAAATTAATTGTTAAAATGTTATTCTATTTTGTATAATTAATGGCTGCATGAACACGAATTTTAACTCGTTCACAAATAATTTTAATTTCTGTCGCGCCTTATACCTATATAACGATTTTACGATTGTCTTTTTTATAGAACATTCATAGATGTGGGTGTGTTTCAGGTTCCTCGTGCCAAGTGACATTTAATTATACCGTTTTCGGCAAGACATTTTATTTGCGGCAGTGCAAGAGAGATGATGTCCCTGCAGAAAACAACGATTTTGAGAAAGTCCGAAGACTCCTTGTCAGAGTGAGTGTATATAGTGTGCAAGTGGGGCACCCAGACGGGAGAGGGAGACAAAGGATAACATTTGCCCCAGGTTCCTAGTAAATTAAAATATGCCGTGATAAATAGCACTTCTATTTTCCCTGAATTCAGGGCTGTATTTTGCTATTATTCCTGCATGCAGTGCATGACCCTATATATAGGTTTCAAATTTTTCCCTCCAGAATCCCTAACCGACTATATTGTATACACCGAATATGGATTGCCAATATTATTTAAACATTCTAAACAAAAGCGCATAATCCCCTGATTGTCCTAAAAGTTCAAGAATACAGAATTCAATTTTCTAGAGGAGCACATGACGGTCATGACGTCGACTTCAAAATCTCAAAAAATGGAAAATCACCAGGGGCCCAAAGTTATAATTTTCCCTTAGCACACGTACACCGGGACTTATATACGTAGGCCTAGTAAGTAGAGTTTGGTTGGTTCTCTCCTGTTTTTCGAGGATTTTTCACTTCATATCCTCCAGTTCTCTTCCCCAACAACTACTTACAGTTCAGTGTGCCTTATGTGTGTAGCATATGTATTACGAGACTCTGGCTTCAGTTTATATATATATATATATATATATATATATATATATATATATATATATATATATATATATATATATATATATATATATATATATATATATATAAATATCACTAGCCTCCCAAAAAACTTCATTTATATAAAACTTCAAGTTAGAAATAAATTTTATTAAATTTCAAATAAATACATAAATACGTTTCGGGGCACAGCCCCGTTTCGGGGCACAGCACGAAGGGGCTGTGCCCCGAAACGTATTTATGTATTTATTTGAAATTTAATAAAATTTATTTCTAACTTGAAGTTTTATATATATATATGAATAGGTTTTGATTGTCATGCCTGGATTAGTTCTGTCGGTTGGTTTATTTTAAACCAACTGAAAGGGACTTCTTCAGGCAAATTGTGAGATTATTTATTAAATTCCTCAGACGTTTCGCCGGTTAAGGCTTTATCAGTGAGTACAATAATCTGAATAATAAAATCGTCTTCTATATATACATGCATTTATCTCTTGATTGAGAATGTAAAAGCTAAAGAATGTTATTAAAAATGTTAATTTAAGTTCTAAGTTAAAAATTATAAAATTAAGTTAAAAGAGTGATTGTTATTATATTGTTGATTGCACCATAGGATATATTAGAAGCCTGATTGTTCCAATTAGTCAAACTAGATATTGATATTACGTCCAGAACAACCATTCATAATTCTGTCCGAATAATTCCGAATCTCAAGTGCTTCGATCACTTCACGCTCATACCGGTAATTTATATTTGCATGAATGGAGGATTTTCCAACTTATTGTCGACTCGCTTTGTGGGTCAATATTGTGAGTTCTAAGGTGTACATGATGAACTGTTTGTTTATCCATTCTGAGATGTTTGTTTATCCATTCTGAGATGTTCCTTTATCCGCGATATCTTCCGGTTTCTTCCACATAGACCAGATGACAATGTAAACAATTAATAAGGTAGATCGCATTCTTAACCTTGCATAAATTAGTTTTAATTGCTAGTTTACAAGTATCACAGTTATCGGGGCAACTTAGCTTCTCTTTACGTGGAGAACATGTGAACGAACGGGTAAGGATGTACTTAAAGCAAGACAATTACAGTATAATCTACCATCAGAAGAGGTAACTATAATTGAAACGGATAAATCTAAACGATTAGTAGCATTAGACGCGCATACATACATTGATATGGTTAACAAATCAACAATAGAATCGGGCAATTACCAACCAGTTAAGAAATTAAACCAACCTAGGACAGAACAGAACAGATCAATTTCAATAAACAACTTAATATAATTATCAAGAAATACGAACATGAATATCCAACACTACATAAAAACCTAAGACAGAATATTTGTAGTGACCCGCTACCTTGTCCGGTATATTGTTTACCTAAAGACCATAAGGATGGTGAATTGAAAGGTAGACCAATTCATGCAGCCATGCACCGACACCGTCAGCATTACATTATGCTGTAGATAGACTGAACCTTCAGTTAAGTACTTGCATAGTATGTTTATGTAGATACCACAACTTGGCCGTCACTCAGGGAGCCAGCTTGATAAACTTACGGAGGGCCAGACTCCCACGAAGCGCCACCATGGTTAGCACAGAGCGGAAAAATTTTGAAAAAGCAAATTTCAGTATCAAACCTCCCTTCTAAATTCCATGTTTTGCTTATATTTTAGAGAAAAGGGACTTTGACTGGGGGGGAGGCAAAGTGGTTGAGTGGGGGGGGGGGGCACCGTGGGAGCTGGGGGGGGGCTTTGGCCCCTCCAGTTATATAGTTAAAAAATGCCCTGACATCAAATTAAAACATTATATTCACCTGAGTACATAACATCAAAACACACACACACAAATAGAGTTTTGTTAATATTCTCTAACACAGATGGGGGAGGAACTGATCATTTTTAAAAAGTGACCTTCGGTTTTCTTTTGGCAAGCTGAAATCAGTTGGAGACGTTTAATTTCTCGTTTCTTAGAAATGCAGTACTGACAGTGTTGCTCAAGATTGTGGACCAGGACGATGCTGTCTTGGTGGAAAGTATTGTGCACCTCTGATTCCAAAATATGTCCCTTGCAATCTCGAGGCAAGTATATTATACTAAGTGATAATGAATCCGGAAGAGAACTGAGGTAAAGATTATGTAATTAAATCATTTTCGGAAATGACGAGTGGACTGAGGTCGAGTGCCAAAATGACTGAAGAAGTATGTGCAAAAGGCACATAAATTAATATGCATGACAATTAAAGTTTGCACGACTCTGCATATTTGCATATAAAATAGGACAACTGAGAGTTTATATATATAGCCTTGCATATTATAATTACGCAGCAATATACGTACGAGACCAGAGCAAGTGCTAAATATTGCGTGTAAATTCCACCATTCACCACATCCTCATCCTCGGTCCCAAACCCTGCGAGGCTGTCAATTTCCCGTTTGTAATCTAAAATGACTGAAAATTGCAAATTTCACAAGGCTATATTTTCCGCATTTTACAACATTTCGCAACGAAACTTTGGAATATTACTAATTTTGTGATGCTCTTTCAAGCTATGATGAAATTTTTGTCTAGACTTGTTTAGATCAAAATTTAGTCTATTACGCAAATGGTCAATTGATTTCCTTCAATTTCATTCTGTATTATTTACTATAATGGAACTCATGTTATTTACACTATGCTACACGGCAAAAAACGCCGAGCCCGCTGCTTAACAGGATTGAACAATGTTTTGCTGCCCACGTTGTTCACACTTGTCAACCTCTGCTTGTCAACAATATTGAACAATATTGTTGAGCCTGAATCGGGTGTAACAATATTGTTCAATATTGTAGACAACTGTGAACAATGTGAATAGCAAAGCATTGTTCAATCCTGTTTTCATCAACATTGCAACAACCTGAGCGTTTTTACTTTTTACGCGTGTTGATCAGTACATATAACAATACATTTTCGGTTCAGTTTTGCCTCCGTACTACGTCATGTAATGTACACTATAGTGGATCGATACTATATGACAATGCAAGAGAGACTTGGAGCAAGTCTACGGTCCCAGGCCTCACGGTTGAGGCCCTGGGACCGAGGATGCCATTCACCACAGTTTCCTGTGATTGAGGCTTATTATAATAACTGATCGTCAAACATTCTCTCATTTTGCAGGATTCTCACAAATGCCCCTGTGCTAGTGGACTGGAATGCAGGGTAACGAAACAGCTGACGATACCCGGAATTCCCGGTTTAACAGAAAGTATAACTCTGAGCTTCAAGCAATGTATGCCTGTGGAAGAAAGTAGCGAGGTTGAGGATGTTGAATTGACGGAGAATTAAGGCTTAAATCCTGTTCACGAGGACTGAAAGCAAGGAAATTAAACCCAAAAGTTGATTGATTGTAGGCATTTCAATAATGCATAGATGAAGAATTAATAAAACTGCATTGAAAAACTCAAGTACGACTGTTTGATTTGCTATGACTCAAAAACTAAAAGAGCTATTACACTTAACTAAATCACCCTATATTCCGCGATGTTTAACTTAGATTTTGATATATGTTTGGTGCATTTTCATGCGATTATGACTGAGATAATTGTGTTTAAACTTACGCAAACATTTTTGGAACCGCCAATAATTAGCTGAAAACCTCCTATTAAACTAATTCAATAACCGTTACGATTTGTTCGCGATTATTGTTTCAATTGTTTCAATGAAGTGAAGTCGAAGTTATAGAAATATTTCTTCATTCACAGACTTTTATTTTTTGTTTTACGATGTTGGGCAATGGATGTGAACTTATAAGGCCGATTTTATTAAAAGTTTTGTTCCTAGAAGGTATCCGATACCCGTGGGATAGGTCAGTATAGTCTGTATGTTCTAATGAGTCTAGAACGAGCTGTCCCATTTCACGGGCAAGATGTTGCAATTGTGCTGGGGGACATGAATTTGCTGATGAATAGATGATTGCTTTTGAACAACAAGCGTTAACGTACTGACTATAGAGTATAACGCGTCTTA